ATGCAGGTGGGAAATGTGGGGCAAGTAGGTACAAGCAGGAGACTTGTAGAGCCAGGCACAGGATGCCCCCATCTCTTCACCAGACCTTAAGGTGGGACTTGAGGTAGTACTTTCCTGATTTAGAATCATAGCTATGACCCAGTCTCAAAATTCAGAATGTGTCAACTGGCCTCCCAAATTTGGAGATTTCTGCTTTTCATGGTTTATTACTTCACTATAATAAAAATGTAATAGGAATACGTGTGTCTTGATAACAATGATACATAACATGATGTCCTAGGACCACATGAAGCCCCTAAAGTTTTTGAGTGTCCCTAAAAGCCATTTCCATCACAAACTGGCTCTTAGGGATAATATCACTTTGATATTATAATTATCAAAGTGATAGAAGGGGAAAATTCCTAAATATAAGGTGAACGATAATATGAAGTAAAACAATTTTATACACTTTGCTTGTAAATTAGATTTAACTGTGTCTTGGTCTGAAATATAGTTTAAAGATGATGTGAGACTTTCTTCTCTTTCATTTACCTTGAAATTTTAGAATAGGACATAAAGCATCACTTTCAAAAAGGAGTCCCTTGTCCCCTATAGATCTTTATTTCATATATGCATTTTCCAATTGTATGCAAAAAGTCTGAGCAGTTCCTATGAGGAGGAGATAAAAAAGCCATCAAGTCATTTTTCCCCTTGAAAGACCTATGGGGCAGCTGAAGCCCAGAAGCCAGCAGGTAAAGTGAGGCAAGAATTCTTGCAAATGGAGGAAACAGGCTTTTTATAAATTCCTGAACATATGTCAAAGAAAAGGCAAGTTTTATTATACTTTCAAACATATTGCACCTGAGCCAGAAATAAACTGTTGCACTTCCTGAACACAGAAAATATCCGGAGCTCATAAGAGGTTCAGAGATTATTCTGAACTGGTGCAGAATCCTTGGGTATATCCACACTTTCTGCTTGGCGCATGACCAAGGCCAGTCATAATTTCCTGAGCACCACTTCCTGAGTGCAGAAACAGATGAGATCCTTCTCCTCTCACTCCCAACCCATTGCAAATGCACCCCATGCCCATTTTTCAAGCTTCAGTTCAAAACCAATGTTTTCTGATCCAAACTATCTTAAGTCCTTCAGAGCAGATGGTCCCCAGCGCTTTGTTCTGTTCTAATTGGAGCCTCAGCTCTGACTGGCTGCAGAGCCTGCCATGTCACATCATGTCCCCTCTAGCAGTTGGTTCCTGTCCGGGACCACCATTTTGTCCTGGGCTGCCAGCCTGCTGTGTTCTCTGCTGGTTGGCAGTTACTGTTTTTTGTTTCTAATATAATCTGTAGTGGATCCAACAATGGCCCATTAATCAATGAACTATCCACAACCCTAAAAACTCATGTTACATTCAATCCTTAAGTCTCCTAGTGGGCACTCTGTTTCTGCCCACGCTAGGCAAAGCATGCTCCCTTTGCTTTCCCACTCCCTGCTCACAGTACTGCAAAGTTTCCCTTCCCTTCCCTTCATTTATTTTTACCATCTTGAAGATGCAACATAGGAATGTTGTTACTTTGCTAAGATGAAGTTGAACTATCAGTTCTTCCTTACTATAAAGTTTCATGGACTTAAAGAGGAATGTAAAAATGAAAGAACAACCTATTCCCTGTTATTTTGATCATTTTAGAATCAGAGCTACAATGATATCATATGGGGGGGAGAGGAAAAAAAAGGGTCTCCGCATCAAAGGAAATATGTGGAAAGGGGGTGCGAGGGCATCTGTGTGTGCAAACAACTGGGAAAGCAAAGGAAAGGCATGGGGACTTAGTGTAATGGTCTGTGAGAATAACCTTGGGGGACAGGAGGAGGAGGAGCCGCAGCCTAGGGAATGGTCAGACAAGAGATATCTCAGCCCACAGAAGAAATGGGGCCATGGGAAACATCTCAGAAGAGACCATAGTTCTCTGGAAAGTAAAGGCGAGGAAGGGGAAACGTGCTTTCAGACTTGCACAATTCTGTTACTGTAACCTTACAATAAAGATAGTGTTAGTACTCACGGTTTTGGTTTCTTGTTTGGACTATCTTGAAGGGGTTAAAACTTAGGAGGGACTATCCCTAAAAGAATACACTGGTAGATTGTCCACAGCTGAATCAGTGGGGTTTACCTTCCCTGCAATCAGGTGTTTCATGGCCATAGTCCAGACTGAACACCAACCTGGCCCCATTGCCAACCCACTGCAATCCAGACTGGGATTTCTGAAATTGGTTTAAGAAACTGCCAGGAGAGACAAGCAGCTTAGGTTCCAGTGTGAAATAGTCCTTGGTGGGGAAGTCATAAAATCATAGTATCAACAGAGGCCTTTTTGCCCATCAAACCCGACGGCCTGCTTAGTGCAGAAATCCAACCTAAAGCATCCCAGACAGCTGGGTGTCCTCTGGACACATCCAGTGCAGAGGAATCTACCACTTCCTGGGTAATTGGGTCCACTTTGAGCTGCTGTTGCTCTTAGGAAGCTTTTCTAAAAAATATATATTATCCTGCCTTTATTATTTTTATAAATGACTCAAGGCGGTAAACATACCTAATACTTCTTCTTCTTCCTAAGATCCAACTGGATTATGCCTTCCTGTAAGTTAAATCCATTATTCTATGTCCTGGACTTTGGAAGAGGAGATTATGGATCCTGGCCATCTTCTCCATGACAAGTGCCATGAAATCTCCACTCAGTCTTCTTTTCTCAAGGCTAAACATGCCCAACTCTTTCCATCTCTATTCACAGCACTTAGTTTCTAATCCCATGATCATCTTCACTACCTTGAACCTGTTTCAGTTTCTGCAATCCTTCTCAAAGGCTGATGCCTGGAACTGAATACAAGATTCACGATGTGGTCTGACCAAGGCAGAAAAAAGTGGATGACTTCCTGTTATTTGAAAGTTCTAGTTCTTTTGAAGCAGTCTAACACTGCATTTGCCTTTTTATTTTTTGCATCAATATCACACTGTTGATTCATATTCACGTTTGCAATCAATTAATGCCCCAAAATCTTTTTCAGAAGTATGTTTACCAAGCCAAGTATCTCCTGTCCTATATCTGCATTTGATACTTGATTCTTCTTTTCAGATTTCTTCTGAAATCTCTTCAGTTGAACAAAAGAAATAGGTTCTCTGTTACAGTTTTGTTTCGCACTGTTTTGTTTGTTTCGCAGCAGCCTGCAAATGGGTTCATTAGGTTTTGTTTAGGTTCATTTTGTTAATTTTTTAAACAGAGGAAATACAGGACCATCGTTTTAGATGGTAACATTATATAATACAAAGTATGTATTATATACATTTGTATATAATACAAAATACAATATAATACCAAGGTCCATCCTAACTCTGGCTCCACTATGACTTCAGGCAGCGAGCAAGAATAATCTTAGCCTTTCAAATTGCCCACTTTGGCTAGGAAGGCAAACAGGGGCAGGGGTTAATCCCAACAGATGGCTCAACCACTGGTTGGCATCTCTGAAGCAGAAATGGATGGGCATGAGAGCCTCAGGGTGCTGACCATTTGGACTGAGATTCATACACAGGGAGAGTGAATGCAGTATTGGCTAGTGGTGCAAATGTTCTGCAAAGCCAGAGAAGTTTCTCACTTCTAGAACAATTGATTTAGCACCATTCAAGACTAAATCCTTCCAGTGCACTGAAAGTCTACCCTCTCCTTGGAATTAATTCTAGTTAATTCTAACTCCAGGGGTCCATAAGACTTGAGTCTGCTTGTCCACCCAGCAACCATCTGAGTTCACTTCCTCTCTGATCTGCACCTCTATTGTGTTTCAATGTCAAAACATACAGAGTAGGAAGCAGCTTTGATAACTGCCTGAAGTAGCTGACAGCAGTGGAAATGTGCATAACACATAGCAAGATCAGATTTTTCTCAGGCAAGCAAACAACAGTAGGAGTGCTTCCTGTGTTTAGAGAGGTTTATCAAAATTATTCCAGGAAGGCTAACTCTGTGCCAGTTTAAAATCAAGCCCAGAATCAAAACCATCATCTATTTAAAAGGACAGGGATAGTTTGGGATGTAGCTCTTTGATTTTAATCTTTTTTTTTCCTTTTTATTTGCCAGAGGTATTGTTTTCTGTTTTTCAAGCTTTTTCAAGCTAATTTTGCCTGCATACCACACAATAATTAGTCTTCCCCAAGGGCTGTTCGGATGCTGACTGGGGATAATGGAAGTCCTGGGCTGGCTGGAGGAGGCTGACTAGAGGTCATGTATTGGCCTTATCTGAATTCCATCTGTTGTCATTTAATTGTACAATATGATGTTTTGAGGACAATGTCTATCTGCATGACCCCCCCCCGCTTTTCTAGATGTGTAAACATATTCCATCTGTTGTCATTTAATTGTACAATATGATGTTTTGAGGACAATGTCTATCTGCATGACCCCCCCCCGCTTTTCTAGATGTGTAAACATATTCCATCTGTTGTCATTTAATTGTACAATATGATGTTTTGAGGACAATGTCTATCTGCATGACCCCCCCCCGCTTTTCTAGATGTGTAAACATATATTTAAGCAGTGTACTTCTTTAATGTTTAATTATCCTGATAATGAACAGCTGTAATTTAATAAGCAGCAGTTTTTAAAGATATAATATTGTATAGTTCCAAATATATTCAGCATTGAAACATGATCTTATCTATGGCCGAAGCAAAAATTATTGTTCTAAAGAAAAAAATCCACCCTTGTGATATAATCTATTCCCATTGCTTATTCTTAATTTTAGTTTTTAAATTAAATTAATTTTAATTAACTAAATTAAATTTAAATTTAAATTAATTTAATTTTAAAAACAAATCTTGATTCACTGATTTTAGACATCTAAGGGCATCTAACAAGTGACACAGCATTAGCCACTGTACATTATATATTGCAAATTGTTGACATTGTCAGATTAATCTTACCTCCTGGTTAAATTAAAAAAAACCAACCATGCTAGGCCACAAGAGATATACATGGCAAAATATGTAATTTATCAATGCCTTTATTAGGACCAACCAAAATACCACAGAAATGTGTGCAAAATTTGCAACATATTGTTTTTATTCCCTCATTCCTTCATTCATGCATTCATTCAATTTATAAACTGCCTAATCACAAAGCAATTCAAGGTGGCATACAGGTTTGTTTTTTTTTTAAAAGCCCAGAACCAACCTATCATCATGCCAAACAAAGAAGAACCAGTTACAAAAATGGAAGAACAATGCAGCACCTCAAGAAAATATACCAAAATAATCTAAACACTGCATATCTGATTTGGGGACACAAATCACCCTGCACCATGGCTTGTTGGAAAAGCCAGTTTTTTAAAGCTTTCCTGAAAGACAGCAGGGTTGGGGCTGTGCAAACTTTGGGGGAATTTGTTTCCGAAGGGCAGTGGTGGCAGTGGTGTTGACCTAACAAGAGTATTGTTCCAAGTCTGGATTTAGCAATTGCAGTTCACACATATCTGAGATATGTCATAGAATCTGTCCCAGGTGATCCTGGTAGCATGCCAGCTACAAAAGTAACAAAAACCAATCTCATTCCATTTGCAATTAATAGTGGGTTAACCAATATGTGGTACATACAAGTCTGCCATTCAAAATGGGCCCATGATTCCATTTATTATTACAACATAATACAATTAACGTTTCCATTTGTTTGTCACAATAGGACATTTCAACCTAAGCCCTTTCAAGATTCCATGTTTTGCTTTTTCATTGAATCTGGCCAACTTGTAAACATATCTTGCATTCTTTGCAAAGCTGGATGGATCTCTGCAATGGTGATGGGATCAGGTGGCCTTAATAACATATCAAAAGCATTTCTCCACATCAACTTACTGTATAAATTAAATGGCTTCCCATATTTGCTTCCCAACGTAACTGATTATAAATGATTTCAGCACAGATTAAATGATTGTATTAACTGAAATGCTATTAAAACTGCACAGGAATGCAAAAGATCTGTAAGATGGCTTAAACAAATAGTTTTAACAATAGTTTTAAAACAGCAAGATGCAACGAATGCTGAAATAAAAAAAGAAAGAGGAAGATTAACATATTTATAAGGCCTCCATAGCAGTATCTAATTCACATTAAGATGATGTTGTAATAACCCTGTCTCTATTTCCATTGGTTCCATTCTCTATTTATATTGGTTTGGTAAAAGCCAATCCTGACATTTCCAAAGCATGTGAAAACTCCTTATTTTTTATCAGTAAAATTGCAAGTTCTTTTGACTAGAAAGTGACATTGATTTTTTGATCCAAGACATGTGAGTTCAAATTCCTACACAGCTATGAAGTTCACAGGGTATCCTTGGGTCATCACTACTTCCCAGCCTCACTTACTCAAGAGGTTGGTTATAAGGATGAAAATGTGCCAGCAGGAAATCTTTTGAAGAAAGGTGTGACAAAACAAGAGAAATAAAATGTGACAACCTGTAATGGGCTGACACAATCTTACCTTTTTCCAGAGAGTAAAAGCTCAAATCCTTCACTGATCTTCTCAAAAGGCAATACATGAGATATTAGTGCATCTGTATTAAATTTATTTTTCATGTAATCAGAAACAAGTTTAGGGAGAGCATCTTTTAACTTCCAACCTGGGATTTAAGAGAAAATCAATATGAGTACTGGATAAGCTATTAATTCCTTTGTATAAAAGGATGGACATTTTAGGTTTTGGGGTTTTTTTTATCATCACCAACTATGCTGTATCTATACCAACTTTCTCCAGGCTGGTGTCCTTCAAAATACTGTAAGTTGTAATGATGCAATTGAAGAGCATCAGGCTGATGAAAACGGATCTATATGTATATTCTCAAATTATATCACAATACTTACAGTGATGATGCTGTGATACTAGAAAAGAATAGGACTAGTGTTTATTCTTTATTCTTCATTATAATGTCACTTCTCAAGAAACCTGTAGCTAATAATATTTATGATATTGAGAATCATGACCAAAACAGCATTTCCCAACCAGAGCCCCTGCTGCCTGCTCAAATTCAGCAATGGGAGATGGAGATGGTTCGGAGGCTGAAACTAAACAGACAGTCGATATGGTTCCTTAGAAGAGCCAAGGCAGCTTTATACCAAGCTGGACCAATCTGAAACTATACATCTTATTTCAGTAAATGAATCACATGCACATAGAAGAATCTTATGACCCACATTAGTCAATGCCCACCTCCAATCAAACAGCCTACTAGTTTCCTTCCTGTGAGCAGGAAAGCAGGGTCAAAAGAAAGCTGTGATCTTGCAGGAGGTGCCCCCACCAGCACACAAGTCCCATGACCCAGGTGGGAAGATGCAAGGGCACTGACCTATTTGAGACACAAAGAAAAACAAGCTAAACAATTGAAGTGAACAAGGAGGTGGTTGTCTGAGTTCTCCATGGATAGCTTGTACATAGTCCTAGAGGTGTTGCTTATAAAAGAAGAGAACATAGCTACATCCAAGAGTGAACAGGAGATCTAAAACCTTAATGCATCTGACTCAGCATTCTGAAATAGGAATTAAAGATGGACAATAGTTCCATTCAGACAACTGAAGGCAGAGGTGATGATGATAGAAGTGTCACGGCACCAGATTCAGTGGCACCAATTCCTGATGTGCCTTGAGGAAATGTGTAGGCCCAGAGGCAGTTTGGTTGTTTGGATGGGTTAGCTCTCTTTCTTGCTGGAAGAAGGTACCTCTTTCTCCCCACTTCTTTCTTTTACCTAGTGTCAAAATATGGGCAGCATATAATTGTAACTGCAAGGACCAACCAATACGTCAGTGTGCTCATTTGTCCTCTTCCACTGGGTAGGACAGTGATAGGAAGTAAGATTAGAACTGGAAGATAATAGAAGGAGAGGAGGAGGACAATGAGATTTATAGGCATGTAGCCTAGGGCATCATAAACCCAGATGTGTCTCACAGATACTACTATGAAGATACCAAAATGAACATACATGTGTTGGGTATATATTTAGCATTGCATTTGTTCCAGAAGATGGAGAAAGAATGCAAAGATCACTATTGCAAATATTCCCCCCTCCCAAAATATAGAATATGTGACTATAAGACACTAGAGATTACTGCCAAGAAAAATCACATACTTCTGTATCAATGCGTCCAATCACTTCAAATGTATAGTCCACACCAAGGCCAGTCATCTGCACAAGCACCTCATGAATTGGCTTCTCAAAATCTTGGGGGCAGATGCACTCAGTGGCTCCTAATTCTTTGGCCTTTGTAAATTTATTCTTGTTGATGTCAATCCCAATAATCCTGGATGCTCCAGCTGCTTTGCAACCCATTATCACAGAGAGACCAACACCTCCTAAGCCAAAGATGGCACAGGTAGAACCAGGCTCAACCTGAAAAATCACATGAACAAGAATATTGTGTTGAAAGATACCCAGACAAAACCTATGCGACAAAATCAGGAGATGGGTGGAGATGGCATGAGAACTCGCAAAGCTTAGGACAAGAGTACAGACACTGAGGCAAAACTGAACAGGATGCAATAAAAATAGTTCTAGTTTCAAGAAAAAGGGGCAACAGCACAAAATAAGCAAATGGAATGTAACAGGAAGGCTCAAATTCATATATAAGAAAAGGTATAACCTAGGCCTGGAGAGAGTGCAGAAAACAAATGTATTGCATGACCTATAATAAATTGGCAAGGACTTTTGACATTACTTTTGTTTGTCTAAAGTAGCTTTCTCCAACATGCTATCCTTGCAGCACTTGTGAATTTAGACCCATGACTGAGTTTACATGTTACACTAAGCCACTGTTTGCCACCACATTGTACTAAGCCACAAACCATGATTTACAAACTTTAATGACTGGATTCACAAAATATATTAAGCCAAAATCAAACAAGCCAAAGACTGGGATTATACATCAAGTTAACCCATGGTTTATTTACCTATGATGTGCTAAATCAACCACAATGGATCAGGATCACCCAAATCATAGTAGCTAGATTTGTACAACAGGCTAAAGCAAAAGCAAAACAAACCAACATTTATTTCTAGCAGAAATGGAACGAACCCTTTTTTCAACCTTTGCAGGAAGCATGAAGTTCTTCTTACCTTGGCAGAATTGATGGCAGCCCCATAGCCAGTAGAAAAGCCACAGCCAAAGATGCAAACTTTATCTAGAGGAGCATCATTGTCAATTCTTACAATGGATGCCTCAGGCATTACGGTGTATTCAGAGAAGGTGCTTGTCCACAGGAAGTGATGGATCTGTTTTCCCCGGCAGGTGAACCTGCTGGTCTCGTCTGGCATCAGATTTTGAAAAGGTTTATAAATGCTGTTTGAGGAGATTCAAATCAGTGTGTATCATAAACTGGACTGGTCAGAAATTGTTGTGTAACTGGAAAACCCAAAATGAGTAATGTGTACAACAAACTTACTGGGATTTGAGACAGCAGTTGGCTTTTGGACTCAAGCAGCAGCCACATTGTCCACATTGAGGAACACAGAGGGGAATGACTTTGTCACCTTTCAGGGAGAAAACATTGGTCCTAATGTGATCTTTTTGTGTTAAAAATCCCATAATATGCTAATAAAAGTTCAAGGAATCAATATTAAAGCTTTACACACAAAAAATAATTCCTAAGATGTATTTCATATCTTAAGTCACAACTCCTTTGCTATGCTTTAAAACAGCTTTTTTTTTTTTAGGCTTTTTCATGAGCCAGGAAGGAAGATACTGTTTTAAGAAGTGAACTGTTAATGTGATTTTTAAAGTAACTGCAACTTCTTTTTTTCCAGGCTTCTGAGAAGACTTGGAAAAATGGGATGGTTTCTTTGTTTATTTACAAAGTCCATCCATCAGCAGACTTTGGGTGGGTTACCACAAATTAAAAATATAAAACAATTCAGAATATAGGAACTCTGAACACCTTTGCAAGATTGATGCCTCTAGCAATCAACTAGAGTTAAAAGCTTGGTAAAGTAGGGCCATTTTGTCCCCTTTTTGAAATGCCATGAAGGCAGAGGACATGGACCTTCAGGAGTAGAGAATTCCAATGTGTGTGAGCTACAGCAGAAAAGGCCTCCCATCTGGTCCATGTCCCCTAACCTCTCATGGGTAGGGACTCTTAGTGGAC